TTATGTACGTTGGACATGTACCAAAAAAATGTCTTTGTCATGACCTTAAATATCGCGATATTCTGGCAATATTAGAAATATTTAAGAAGTTTCGAACACCAAGTGACAAATTAAAAGAATTATAGAATTTACATATTTAAATTTACAAAACAATATTGATTTTTATAGTAATTAATAAATTAAAATTATATCAATGTTACTGAGCATGTGCATTAAAGATAATTTCATGTAAGCGAAGTAGCCTCGCAATAGGATATCATTCAAGAAAAGTTTGGTATTAGTTAAGAGAAGGTACGTCTATAGTAAACCACTCGAAGAAAAAAAACACTCGATAAACACACTGACACAACACCAAGGAAAACAAAAAAAGTACTTAGTAGAACTAGAAAATGTCAAGATTAAGCAGAAGAAGAGAAAATACGCTAATAATGACAGCGTTGACATATCAACAAGAACTCACCTGCGTATGAGGCTATTCTTTCCGAGAATGCGCATTAGGGATAACACGGCTAATGTTAAATTTTTACTTTATTTAAATTTAGGAATATTCTTTTATATCGTTTTTTGTAAGTTTTAAGCACATTAGTGTATCTCTTTTACCAAAAAAGTGTTGGTTGTCCTTAAATACTTCGAAATCCTTGTGAAAATAAATTAATTTGAAGTTGTTCATTTTTATAGTATATCTATGTAAACAGTACGCAAGGGTCAGATTCGGTCAGTACATTTTCAATTAGGTATGACAATTTGTTGACGTTACACTAAAAGAGTCTATTCGGTGATTTGAGCAACTCCATCCCGAAAAGGATTTCCTGCACGTCATAAACCGTGGCTGGTGAAACCGTAGGCTAACATCACACAAACGCTAATGGAACCGAAACATAAAGATGTTTTATTCCTTTCCATGGGTTTATTCTCTTTCGCAGTTATAGGGTGTCAAAGATGAGGGACTATATTTTTTCCATATTTTTCAGAAAATATAATGAAATTTGTGCAAGTAAGTTTTTGAGGTTATCAACTACGTCAGTATGGTCAATTTTTGGTCATATGCTGGAACTTGCTAGGTAAAACCTTACCCAGTAATATTTTATATCCACGTATTTGAGGTTAGGCTGTTTATGGTGTAGTATATTTTAATATAAAATTTTATTTTACGTTCTGGTTAAAATCACTGGAAACGTACCGATTTAGTTCACTGCGTAATACACAGGATGTCAGAAAACGAATGGGCCATAATTCGGGAGTAGTTTGCTTGAATGTAAATTTCAATTTAGTGAAAGACTAAAGCCCATGGCTAATAAGAATAGAATCTTTTTATTTTTTAATATTCTGTGTGTTCTTGAATTTATAGTACCTTTGCCAAAACATCCTGTACATTTATTTGGTATAGAAATTGCTTTAGCTTCATTGGATCTAGAAACAAATGGAAAAATTCCGTCAGGTGGGTTATCTTAATGGTTGGATTTTTCAAAACAACGTAAATATCTTCGCTGGAGACTTACGGCTTTTTATGTATCATACACCTAGCTCAAAACATGATATTTAAGCCAGCGAATTAAATTTTGAAATCTACAAACTCCTATGGTTTTGTTTTCATTCTGGAATTAATTTGTCGCCTTCATAAATCAAACTGGATCCGAATAATTCCGGCTGAACCTTGTGTTTTTAATGATTTATAAATTAAATTTTCCCATCGTTAAAGATAAGTCTATAGTTTTATGGAATAGATTTTTTCCTTTTAAAGACATCACTGATTTATGAAATCAATCTAAACGTGATATTAAAAATTTTTGCGTAGGAATTTAAAGAATGTTCATTCACCATAATCCTTTGTTGACAAAATTTATTAATGATTTGGTCTATGATATTTTAAGAAAAGAACCCACTTTTACAAAAGCTACTTAATCCCTACTTTATCTATTTTTAATAATCCGTAAAATATGTGACACTGATGGATACGTAGTCTAGATTGAAAATCACTTTTCAATCAACGCAAGATCATTATTACTAAAATTTTAAACAAAATCAGTACGTCGCGCGCCGTAGGCACCAGTAAATATATATATTTTTTAATATTTTTATTCTATTACTACGAAGAAACAGCCAAATAGTTGATTTGTATAGGGTATAATTAGAAACAAACTCGGGCTTTCATCGCATATCATAATTACATTAATTCTCGGGTTATTACCTTAACGTTACAATAATCTGTTGCTTTACTAAATTGGAATAAGTTAATTCGCTAAAAAATTAAAACAAACGAACTGGATACTAAAATCCGACACTGATGGATGGATAAGCAACTTTTTAGATAAAATCTATTTTTCATTAGAGACGATACCCTAATCACCTGAAATCACAAGTCTGTGTACTCATAAGATGCTCTGTAATTTTATTACACAGGATGTTTATAAATTTACAGTCTCAATCTAGAACAGGCACTGGACGTGACATTCTAATAAAAGAGCCTAGAATAGGAAATATGAATGAAGTGTTGGAAAAACAAAATTGCATTACAAATGTTCGATATATTTGGATGAACACATCAAAGAACCCGAATAATTCCTTGAGCTTTACAAATAATCAGCTTCTGTAGCCTGTTTTAAAATGGTATAAAGTAATAAATCAATCATGTATAAAACGGCCATAGGCGTACCAGTTTGCAGGTATTATTTTTCATTTATCTAAATTTTTTATTTTATAATTACGACGATATGTATGCGTCATAAATAAGCTTTGTATTGTATATTGTGTTGTACTGACTTGTTTGTAAATTATTTACAAATAATCATTTTTTAAAGATTTTAGCAAATGCATTCGGCTGTGTTAAACTATAAGTCCACTATTGTTGGTCCTGTTTTGAAAACAAAATTAACTTTAATGACTAAAAAAAAAATAAAAAGAAACTATAATCTTTTTAAAGCCTACTTTAATGAAAAACGATTGTGTTTTTTTAAATGAAATATGTACATATCTAATTTTTAAGGTAACTTGATTTGCCGGTGCACTGAATAAGATGATTTTTTGTTACTTTAGTAAAATGGTAATATTAAATTTAATGCAAAAGCTTAAGGCAGAAACATACGTGGTAATTATTTCCTTCTACATACAGAAAAGAGTTATAAAAATTCATAAATTGTATCAAACTTGCCCACGATACTGCAAAATAAAATTTGGTAATGGTTTCGCAATTGCAAAAATAATCACAACGTAAATGTCAAATTTTCGTACAATTTATTCTTGTCGTAAATGTGTATTTTTTCCGTGTACCTTAAATGACATTTATTTCTATGTTAATACGATTGTTTTCATGGTTCATTGACATTTTTTTTTGGAGTATATAATCACAAGTATTGTACCAATTTATTTTGTAAATTTTTGACATAAATCGAGACAAGAATTAGGTTGTCAGATACAGTGTTCTGAAAAAAATTATGTTCCAGGAAAAATAAAAAGAACGCATTGTTCCACTATAAAAAATGACAATCGCATGTCATTAAGATAGGCCTTGAAAGAAGAACCCAGTCTGTAGTATTTTCGAAGTGATTAACGCTAATCTTTTTTTAATCGGTCCAAAAATGAAGCTTGCAGCGATTTTTTACGAGACATCCGGTAATGCCCATTGAAAATATACAGCGTGTGCCATAACTAATAGGCCATATTTGTTATAGATAATTTTATCATTTTTAAATATACTGTGTTGTCCAAAAGATAAGGTGAATTTGTCAAAAAATAAAAAATCTTTATTTATGCTTTCAAATCAATCTCGTCGCCATCAAAGTAATCCCCACCTGATACAATGCACTTATGCCAACGTTTTTTCCAACTCTCGAAACAGTGAAAATTGATAAACTCACTTTCGTATGTTTACAAAAACACGAGTAGCTTTGCAGCATATTGAATATATTGACTTGAAACTATGCATGGATATCAAGGACAGTACTACCAACCTACAAAAAATATATAATTTTATGCTTTCATAATACCAGCGAATTTTAAATAAGCAATTCACCTTATTTTTTGAACACAGGTTTATTTCAGTGAAATTTGGTATACGGAATTTAATTCTTATTTATAGCATAGTCACTAGGAGTGCATTTTCTATAAAAAATATACATGTTGAATGTTTCTAATGCTCTCTAATCTAATTGAACTTAATCTATTTGCGAAATTTGTAGCCATATCAAATACTTTTCTGATTTAAACCAACTTACTGCTTTCTTATGTCGCGGCGTCTCACTAATGTTATTGATTTCAGTTGAGGTAAATTTATTTAAATAGCAAAAAAAATAAGGAATAGATTTAGCAAAAGGATAATATTTGATTAGAATATACCCAAATATTGATCCTACGGAACTTGATAACTGCAATAGAATTGAGGACTATGAAAAAATGGAACAAAGAAATTGTTTCTGGCAGGCCATAAGGTTTCTAAAATGGTACTAAGGTAACTTGATCCAAATAATTTTATTTTTTAAATAAATCCTGACTTATTTAAATTAGCAAATTAGTTTTTATCTTTGCAATTTCAAAAAATGTTAGATACTTAACTTTGCTTACTTTATTGAATTATATGTTCTGTTGAAAGGAACGCTCAAGGCACCCTGTATTTCTTTGTCTCTTGTAGTAACGATTTCAACAAGAATTTGAACTTCCGAGTAATCCTCAGATTACCGACGAAGGTGATCAATCAAAAAATACTGCCGTCATTGATTTTCAGGTAATCATAAATCTGTCATTTTGCAATTAAAATGTCACCTAGAAAATCAGAAATTCTGCCCGTATTGTCCTTTAGATTTTAAAAGCCGTTATAGTTTACCAAAACACTTTCGGCCACGAATTAGTGCCTAATCCGTTTTTAGTTTCACGTCAGATTTAGTTTTAACACACGTTTATCTTATCTACACATCTGTCTTAGTTGTATTTACTCCCCCTCGTCTCACTTTTTTATAATAAAAGAAGATTACAAGTGATCCCTCTCAATAAGGAACCATCACTGAACAGGCAACTACGGAGTAGTTGTTGTACAGTGACCAATTCCTGATCCTGACTAAAAATAACTCTGCGAAAATATACAACCAGTATAAATCCGATAATCAGTTTAGATTTAGTTTCGTCCAGGTACTACTTTGTGGTATTTGTCGCAGGTAGATCTGCTCCAGAGGAGACAAGGAGGATCCTAAGAACAAGAAGGTCGTCTGCAAGGTCTTATGTTTCTTAACGAGGAAGCAATCGATCGGTAGTGCAGGTCAAGTGAATCGTGGAAAGGTCTCCCAACTGCATGTTTGTTGGCTGCGTTGAACCACCAGCACTTGTTTGGTGCATTACAGTTAAATCTATTAATTATAGCAGCGGACCACTGCCAGATCTTGAATAATAACGTCTGCATCTACATACAGAAATGCGCGAGAATACGATCTGCCACATGTTCAAGGGAACGCTCCCTCAGATGATCGCCGTTCTGACCGGTGAGTACTTTTCATGTTATTCTTGTTGGTGCTTTGCTAATTTCAGGAAACGGGGAATAAAAATAGACGCTATGACGTTTCACCCGATGTTTACGTCAATCGCGGCTTACGTAACTAAGTGAAACTATTTTTGTAGCGAAAACAGATGCCTAATTTTTGGCGGTAAACAACGTGTCTCGGAAATGGTCGGAGTAAATGAAGTGGTTGAATAGTAAGGCTTATGTTGTTCCGATTGACAAATCCAAATTGCTATTACCAGTTTATTGTGTTTATGTCATTTTTCGGCTAATAATAATATTTCATAACATAAACGCACGAATTGTGAGCAATTTTTTTAAAACGTTTTAAACTTTGTTGCTAGATTTAATGTATTTACAACTGCTTAAAGTATTTGAATCGCTTATTTCAAAACAACGTAAGTCTCGTTGCAGCTATTTTTATTTTTTTTGCACTATTACTAAGCATCCGATTTTTAGACAGACAAACAGTATTTTTGTGTACACTGTGACAAAAATAAATATGAATGTGAACAATCGAAATAGTAAAACGATATTAAATAAATAAATAATAATTATCCAACTTCCTTTTTTATGTATTTTCAGCCGTTTTATTACTTTTCTTCTTCCATGCTTAGTAATTTCTCCACATCTATGTCTAATTTTATCTTATGAAACCTCGTAATAAGAAGACTATCCTTATAAACATTTTACTTAATAACTTTTAAGAAACAGAGGTAATTATTTAGTTATTTAATGTTGTAACTTTGTTTCTTCTTTTGATGCGTATTACTTGATATTCTTGCACTAATCTTTTTTAACGACTAGGTAGAAAAGTTTTCCCGTGAATTTGATAGCTGATAAAATAAATAGTATAAAAGAAAAAACTAATCCATCTTTGTTAATTTTTAAATTAACGGTTATGCTAAAGAAAAAAACTAAATGTTTAGTGCCTGAGCATTTTCACAGCTTTTCATTCAAATTTGATATAGTTGTTTTACATTGACAATTTATTGATGAATAAATTGACGAAGTTCTTCATGAATTAATTCACGAATTTATTGGTAAACAATGTAGTTTTACACTGCTACAGACTTTATCAAGTTTTTTGACGCATGAATCAATTCTACCAACGAATCAAAGAAGCAAATAAATTTCAAAAATGTCACCTTTCCACTCATAATTGTAGTGATACAACAGCGGTACCGTTTTGACACATATTATATAAATATTAGTGTTTGTAAGTAACAAATCACTAAAAACAATGCAAAACTAGTACGACGCCACACAATTAATTACATATTCCAATAACATAACCTCATTACTGATCTGAGGGTGGAAATCTGTTGGGTTGGTACTTTCGAACTTCACGAATAAATTGACGAAAATTAGAACATGCTCTAATTCGTCAAGAACCTGGTGAATAAATTCATGAAGTTATTTGACAGCAGATTTGGTGCATTAAACTAGTCCAATTTCTTGATGAAGCGACTTCATGAATTAATTCATCAATAAATTGTCAATGTAAAACAGCTAATACAAAAGATTTCTTTCGGATGCCAAATTAAAATATATTACTAAAGTATTACAAATAAAAGGATCGCTAATAGATGTTTATAAAAGTCTGCCCCTTTTTTAATTTAATATAAGGATGACCCGGTGGAAAGTGAAACACAGTGTGTAGTGGGTACATTTTTCAAAGGTTGTAAAATGTTACGTATTTTGTTTTTGAAGTAAGCAATGATTCAATGTCAGTTACATAATTAAGTAAAATCAGAAAGCAATTAGACTAAGTTGAAAAATATATGTATTTACATCGTCCTATTAAAAACCTATTTTAATGGTATAGAAGTTAAAAAATAAAAAAATAGTAAATGTCAGTTTATAATACCTACCTATTTATAAAAAAGGAAGATACGGAAAGTTTACAAGACATACAAAAAGTTCCCAAATAGAACAACTTAAAATTATTAGTCCAATTAACTAAGCCTTTAAGTCGAAATTTTGCCAACTTGGCTGAATTTTTGATATGTGTTAGTTTAAGGTATATTATAACAATAAGTGAGAGTAATTTTTTGTTCAACCCCCGGCCAAGGGTGGAAAAAGATAAAACAAAGGGCTTTTTCAAGATAACTCAAAAAGGGTAAGAGCTAGAAAATAAAGTTTTTCATGAAAGTTGTAAAGCAGACAATTCTACATAAAAATGGCCTCTTAACTTTTTCTTGTACTATTACAATTAACAGAGTTAGGGAGGCTAGAAGTTAAGGGAAGATTTCAGAAATTTAAAAAAAATCATAACAAACAGAAAAATGATTGAATTTTGTAATTTTTTTTTTCAATCTGCTCTAAAATATGTAACTTTTCTTTTCAGAGAAATAGATATATTTTTTAATTTTTAATAAGAAAGTTATAACAAAAAATCAAATTTTTAATCGTTAATTTTAATGATTTAACAAAATTAAATTTCTGAAATCTTCCCTTAACTTCTAGCCTCCCTAACTCTGTTAATTTTAATAGTACAAGAAAAAGCTAAGAGACCATTTTTATGTAGAATTGTCTGCTTTACAACTTTCATGAAAAACTTTTTTTTCTAGCTCTTACCCTTTTTGAGTTATCTTGAAAAAGCCCTTTGTTTTAACTTTTTCCACCCTTGGCCGGGGGTTGAACAAAAAATTACTCTCACTTATTGTTATAATATACCTTAAACTAACTCTTATCAAAATTTTAGCCAAGTTGACAAAATTTCGATTTAAAGGCTTAGTTAATTGGACTATATGTTTATGAGAGAACTAGAAAAAATGCACACATTTATAACTTTCATCAGTCCCTTGCAGAAGATAAAGAGAAACTGGAAATATATTAATACCAATGTGATGTTTCATTAATGTTCCAAAATTTGCATACTACCGCTGTTTGTGAAAATATTGAAAAAACTATTTATTTGCTCCACCTAAAATGAATTATATTTTTGTTTATTATTTTCTGGAAAAGCGCATAAATAAAATGCATCAATATAAAAATTTACACATTTATTAGAATTGCGATTTTTTTCCCATTTTAAGATTTTATAAAAAACTTAGTTGTTACTATAAGTTTAATTATGTAACAACAATCCAACGTTACAATTTTAAATATTGAACTTTTAAATTGCCGAAAGTAGAAAATGACATGTATTACTTTATCAAAAGCAATAAACGATCAACAAAATTTTTTTAACGTTTGTCAAAAACATATTAAATAGAAAATTATCTACATTTTAGGGGAAGGTTCGAAACGAATAATTATATACGAAACATCCCTATAAAATAAAAACCATTTCTATAGTCCGGGCGAATTAGGTTTTTTTTTCAAAAATCGGGTCTACGTCGAATTTTATGGGCTTAAAATTATGTAAAAAATACACAGGTTAAAAGCCTAAATTTGTGTCTTTGTAGAGGTCGAGCGTCATGTTGTTTATAACAAAGTAAAAAAATTGCTCTTTTTTCAGTTTTTTGCTTATATCTCCGAAAATAAGCCTCTAATCGACATGAGGTATACTTATCGATTTTGTTCCTGAGGAAATGAGTAGGCTTTTGCGAGAGCTCGCAAAATTATTTTTACATTGCAAAAATAGCGGTGAAAAAAAATTTTCAGCATTAAATAAAAAGAACAAATTTGACTGAAATTGGATGAAACTACAGGAAAAGATAACTGTTGGGGTGCTCAACAACTACCCGCAATCCGGACCCCCAATTTTAAAATGGCGGCCTACTGCAAAATTATAAAGTCGAAAACGCGAGCGCGTATATCTTCTGCCTAGGTCAAGATATATAAATTCGGCAGAAAAGGATCGAAAAGTAATTACATTATCTCGCTTCTTTGTAAATTTCAGATTTTTGGGATGTAAAATAAAAAAGTTATTAACAAAAAACAAATAAAAACGGTAACTAGGGTCCTTATCTCGGCGATTTTCTAATATACAGATTTCAAACCAATTGGATTAAATTCGTTCGTTTTATTTAATGTTAAAAATTTTGCACATTTTCTTTCACCCCTAATTTTGCAAAATTTTGCGAGCTTTCGCAAAAGCCTATTCATGTAGCAAATTTCTTCAGGAACAAAATCGATGAGTACCTATACCTCATGTCGATTAGAGGCTTATTTTCGGAGATATAAGCTAAAAACTGAAAAAAGAGCAATTATTATTTTTTTCTTTTGTTATAAACAATATGACGCTCGACCTCTACAAATACTCAAATTTAGGCTTTTATTCTGTGTATTTTTTACTTAATTTGAAGCCCATAAAATTCGAGGTAGGCCAGATTTTTTAAACAGTCATGTGTTTGGTCTAATTCTCCCGGATTACAGGACGCCCTGTACGTATGTCATTGTTTAACGCTTATTTAAAAAAATCCATTAAAACAACACATTGAAACATTAAATAAAAAGACGAATAAAAATCCATAAAGCTTTTCAAACATTTCTCATTGAATTTGTAGTAGTCACTGCAACTTTATCTAGATCTACAAATCTATATTATTCAACATATTCATAGTTTGTGGGGAGAGCTTTCTTAAATCCATATTATACAAAATGAAGTCACGGTCAAGAATAGACATTAAATCGCAGTAAATCGATTGTATAGGTTACTGTGGTATTGCAGATGTTTTGAAACTTATTATTAAATGTTAGAAATATAACATTTTTAAATATTCTGTATTGGCTCTGTAGAAAACGGACCAAATACAAGCATTTACAATAAACAAACTCTTAATAACAATGGAAGGTATCATTCTTGGAACAAATATTGATTTTAAAGGTACAATCAATATTTAAGGAGAGAGAAGCATAATAAAAGTATTCTTACCTACCTATTTCTCGAATATATACTGCCAATTCAGTGATTATCTAATCTGTAAATTAACTGTTAACAATCTTAAGGGATATGTTATCCTCAGCAAATAAACTAATAGTCCAATCGAATTAGAGTTTGAACCTAAAAAAATTGTTAGTAGACACTTTATT